GAAGCCTGCTGGTGAGGAAGAGAGTGTGCTATGCTCAATGCTCAGCTGACGTTGCTTCTTATATGTCTCATGTTCAAGGGATCCTACTGAGGGCGCGAGGATCTTGCTAATGGCTTCCTGCAGATACCAACTGACGCAAAAAACTAAACAATAGCTGCCGGCGTCTCGGTTGCACGAAGCGGTACCGTCTCGCGCTCACTAGTAGGGCCTGAGCAATGTCTTTCTCGACCGCGATGAGCACTTGTTGTTTGTCCTTCCTAAATTCAAGGACATCAAGCAAACAACCCCTAAGCTGCCTTCATGGTACTCAATCTAACACAACAGCACACGCATCAAACCCTTTATACAGAGAACAAAGCAGTAAATGGAGCGTGATGGCTTGCCTCATATTAATATCGAGGAGCGATGCATCAAGCTCAAGGAATCCCAGGCAAACGGGAAAGAGGCCGCGACTGCTGACTTCTTTCCATTTTCTGCGAGCAATTACAGGGGATAAACAATTGAAATCCAAAATCAAGCTCAGAACGCTTAACTCAAAGTCGTGACTTTTTCCCAGGAACGAAATGTCTGAGAATTAGCCCATAAGTCTTCTACACTACTCCCACAGAGTATTTGGCCAAAGCACCGTGGGTCGCGATGCCTGGGCCCTAAAATGGCCCAATAATCGTTTTTCAGATGCGCAGCTACTTTGCATGTACTATTCAGGAAGACCCAGATTTCAAGCTAGGCTAGCCCACTTGTTGAGGAGTTTTTGGAGTAACGGGGGAAACTCCACTGCTCTCCTTTTCACGAAGAAGTGCTGGAGGGAAGCCGAGCGGATGCCATGCGGAGGCCGAGAGATGACTGCTTCCAACCTGCCAGGTGATGCCCGCACCGTTGACTTCAGCTTCACTGCCACTAGCTAGAAATGCAGCAGCTCAAACCTTGGCTACGCCTAGCATATTCCTGTTCTTGCTTCCTGATAGATTCAGACGAGGACAAGTGCATACGGAACGAAAGCTAAGTTTTAGCTTACCTCCATTCTCGTCCTGGGTCATTCCCTGAAAGCGTCAGCTCGGTGCAGGCGGCCAACTGCTTCGGTCCATAAACGCTCAAAGCCGCCTCTAATAAGCTGGAGCTAGTACCCTTTGTAGCTAGAAAGGTAGTGCGCCCACCCCTGGAGTCGCAGTGCGTGAGCAGGCAGTTGCACACCCATAAGCATGAATGAGCTCAGCGGCAAAAGCGTGAACATTTTCCTCCCAAGCATGCACACAAAGTTTCTTCATCACCGAAGGAAACACCTATCCGCGCAGCCAATATCGGAAGATGCCGCACAGAAACAAGACCCACGTCTTGGGGTCGAAGTTCGAGAGGACAATCCTGCAAGCGGTCGCGTGCAAAAGAGCGATTCTCTGCATCAACGCCAGAGCATCCTGGAGCTGGCGCTGCTTTGCTTGCTCCATAGTCCTCCGCCTCAGTGGCATACGTCCGAAAATGTCCTCCACAATAACTGTGGTGCCTACCTGAATTCAGCTCACAAAGAAAACTTCCATTGCAAGGGAACACAGAAAAGTTTTAGGTCTTGAAATGCACGTTTTTTCATATGTTTAACAGCACAGATTCACACTATTCAAGAGATCTCAATCCATACGTAAAACACCTGTTTAATTTCTCTGTGCTTCGCTGGTTCGTGTACAGATGCCAGAAGTCTGCGAAGCGCGATAGAAACTTTCCGGCATTCAGCAGTAACACATGCGCAACTGCCCTCCCGTGCTTGTAGCTACCCCTCTGCATGGCAGCAAATACGCTCGGCTTCTGTACCTCTCGCGCAGTGGCGTCGCGAGCCACTTGCTTTCCCTTGCTATCAAAAATGAGTCGGGTCCCAAAATCAGCTGTGCGGCAACGCGTGACAAGGGACACTCGGGCGACGTAGCAGAGAGAAGACAGTGCCTCTCCCTGCACAAAGAACACTCCACAGAAAGGAAAAATCTACCGGAGAATGTGATGATCAAACACATGTAGCTCTGCTGAGCTTCTGAAGCCGAAATATGAAGATCTAGATGATTCTCCCGGCCTATATTTTTGCACAGTTGAATATGGTTTAAACACCTTGCTTAGCTACTGTGACGAGAATACACGGGAACAAAACGCAGCTAATGCGCTGTTGTATTGATGCAAGCGAAAAGCTGGGATTCTGTTCCTACTCTGAATCCCAGGGAATCCAGCTTGCTGTAGACATCCTCGAATGTCGTTATCTTTGAAGTCGCGTGGCGGCAGCCTAAAACAAAGGAACTTAACTGCTCTGTTTTAGGCTGCCTCATTGGCGCCTAGAGAAAAGCAGCTTGACAGTATCACAGGGGCAACAGAGCCACAGGAAAGGCTAACAGCAGCAATGCAGTTGGCTTATACAACTCAGTGCAACGCGCGCGTCTCTTCGTAATGCGTTACTACCTAGCAAGTCAAGGTCTTCCGGGGAAATGCCACACCCATTGTCACGAACCTCCACACCCCCAAGGCCACAGTCCATAAGTCGAATCTCTACGGGATAGGCGCAGACAACAGGTAAAACAAAGCAGGAGCAGTTTTCGAATGGTGCACCTGATACACGATGAAAGGTCAAGGAGATTGCTAAAGCGCCTCAGAAGTCGTTTCGTGTCCGCCTGTCAAGCACCTGGGGGTGAAAAATCATTAACAGCAACGGTCACTGTTTCCCCAGTTCCGTACATTCCCTTGCCCCCCCAGCGGATGACAGATGTACCTACCGATTGAGGTTGCGCCTGCATCTAAGGAATTCTCGACGAGCTCCTTGCAAATACTCTTGAGGTCAATGACAACTTGTTGGCTGCTTAGTGCTGCTGCTGTGTCTGCAGAGATGCGCGCGATGCGCCTTCCATGAGACGTATTTGGTGTCGCCTGGGAGGGTAGAGGCGGAGCCAATACAGGAGCAGAAAACCCAGACAGATCGGTCAATCTGTCGGAGTTATTGCTTGAATCCATCCTAGCAGGCATGTTGCAGCGGGGCCTACCAAAGCAGCCAGCTTCAGCCCCTCCATCCGCGTTGTGCACAGTGGTAGTACCTGAATAAAAATCCTCGGCTAGGCATTCACTACGGCGGCTGGAAGTTGGACGTTCCTCCTGCTGGGGAGCTAAGCATGGGTAGCATTCGTGATACGGGTCGCTTATGGCTTGACAAGTCGGCGTTGAACTGAGAGAGAAATCTTCGTCATCCCCTCTTTGCTGAGGCGGTGTTGTGGCCATTGCTGATTTTCGCAGTCAACTCGCGAGTGGCTCAATGCTGGTGAGCTTCATAGATGACGCGAACTGCTGGCGGGCTTTAAACCGGAGAACAGGCGGGAACGAATTCGTAAGGGAATGTTACCTGGGGTTAGATGTGATTTGGTCAAACTTTCTGCATTGCAGCCCCCTGTTTTGATGCAAATGGTGTACTCGTGCGGGGATCTACACAGACGTAGCTCCCAGGCAAGGATGAAGCTTAGGCACGTGGGCAATGGTGCTTCCAGAGTTGTCGGCTGCTGCAGTCCAAAGGAATAATACATGGTGCTATATTGCCGCGTTCCCAACTACCCCGAATAAGCAGGTACGGGAGCCAAAAAAGCGAAGCAGCATCATTAAGTTCGCAACAAGCACCTGTCTTCGCGTGAGTGCATCGTTGGGGCCCACGGAGTGCCCTTTTCTGCTCATCGTTCAGTTGTCTGCAGAGACAAGCGCTCCCAGAAGAGATCCAACAAAGCCCAAATATTGGTCTTCACAAAAAAGATCTTACCTTGCAAATCTGCAACTAGAGACTGTGGATGCGTGCTTGACCTCCCTGATGCAGCCCTGCAGTTCTTATTCAGACTTCGCTTGTCCAACGGCTATTGTTGGGCTTATTCCCAGAATATTCTATGTGAATCGTTTTATTGGATCGCTTAGGTACGTAGTTTCATCGTTGGTTCATTATATTGAACAGGACTCCACCGCGATCAGGTACAAGCGTGTAGCCACTGTGCGCCATTTTCGAGCGACTGCGCACTCCACGCAAGTTGCGGTGTACGGCTTGATTTGTTACCGATACACCGGCCGAGACACGACATAATTACTCGGCAGCAACGGCAAACCATCGCTAGCCCGGTGCAACCACCATAGCATCCTACGCAACAGGCAATACTTTCTGTCGCACTCCCAAATGGTTGCTTCCAAGCCATAAATCGCCGACGGACTGTTCTGTTCCTGAAATTGGCTAGCAACAGCAGCTAAATTACGCTAAATCACTCGGCGACCCGCTACGCCGCAGTACACGAGCGTCATAATCCACGCGACGTGACCGCCTGCTCTCGCAGATTGGGGATTCCGCTGATTCCTCATCTAGGCGCCAGTAAAACTTATTCGAACTAATGCATGCTCGCTGCCAATCGGCACGGTAGCCGTGCGCTTAGTATAACTATCTGGGAAGAACACTGATTCCTCATGAGTGTTTTGATACCAACCGTAAGCGAAAGTACGAGTATACAAATATAGATGTGTACCGGAGGCGGGTATATAAGGTCTGGATGATTGTAATACAGACTTTCCAGCAAGCACTCCCTTGATATGCACCACGGCAGACTTCGGCATTTGACCGTCGTCCCATACTCTGCGAAAATGCTACCGTGGGACGCTCCTATTTCAAGACACGCCAGAGAGGCTGGCATTTTACAATCAGTATTATGGGCTTCAGATGACACCCTAGGCTCTCTGGCCTCAACAATTTGCGCCGTCGACGCACCAGCAGCACAGCGTCTCACCGGATCTGGCTCCGCATCAATCATTGCCACCAAGTAGTTCCAGAGTGCTAAAAGCCTTTAGAACAGTGCTCCACCCCTCGCTGAGCACAGAAGGCTTGTTCTCAGCGTACTTACCAATACCTCACCCTGATTGCCGAGTGACCACGATTGCCGCACCGACAACTCTCTGGCTGAGGCTATTCGGTTTGAGAACCAGCGACAAAGTCAGCCTCAAGTGACCCTCACAAGACTTCCTCTTTATGAACACTTTGACAAAGTCAACCCTATTTCCTTGGATCGCTCGCATGTTGCCTCCACTGCATCAGCTACTGCACACACAGTAGACAACAGCAAAGACTGAAGACACAGAACTGCAATTCAGGAGCCCACCGGTGCGTTGAAACCAGATGGCAAGCCGTTGAGTCTGGCAAATAGCCCCTGAATCCCCCAATATTATGAAATGCACTGCTGCAACGAATGCTGAAATGGAACTAGCATCGTAGGCAACCTACCCGCCGCTCTGAAGGCTCTACGCTCCATTGCTAAAACTCCCGCAATTGTTGTACCCCCAGGGGACGTAATATCGTCACGAAGCAGTGCTGGATGAATCTCCTTCATCTGTACAAGTGTTGCCGTGCCGCGTACAGACTGCAGGGCAGCTTCTGTCGCCAACTGGCGGGGTAAACCGCTGTAGAGTTTTCAAAGCACACGGCAAAGCTACATGCCAAACTTGTCACTTGCAAAATCTGGGCCTGCCACTTATGCAGCAACGAGTTACTCGTGTTGAGCAACTTCACAGCACCTCGGCGTTGGGAAATTTCGCAGCATCGGCCACTCACCATTTGACACCGCCGTCGATAAGAGCTTCAACAAATGAGCATACGAATGCCGGGCCTGCAGCGCCCACAGATCACTTACCGCAGCCAAATTTCTGCACAGAAATCCAGCAGCAAGCTGGGCTGAGGATGGATGATTGCCGCTGACTGTGGCTCCCCCTGATGGGATGGGCGTTAAGTGTCAATTACTTGATCCGCTAATTGCACAGTAGGCGTCGAAGAGATCTTCTGTAATCGCGTGGACCAGCCCAAATGATCGCAGCGCCTGCAGAAGCAGCGCGTGTGCTGAATCTGTACAAGGGCTTACACAATAGCATGTCGCTCCTTCTCCAACAGAGCAGAGAACATTTGGCATTATTCGCGCGACAGGTACATTGTCACACGCCTTGAGCAACCTCGCGAGTGGAACCCCTACGCAAGCAGAAACAACCAACGCGACGCGATCAACGGCCTGCCGAACTTCCTTAAGGACCTCAAGAGCGATGGCCGGCTTCACAGTAAGAAACAGCAAACCGCCTTGCGTGCGCTCCACAACCTAATGGGATCAATGGAACAAGCAGCCTAAGACAGCTTGCTGGCCCAATCACGCGCGACGAGATCGAACCACTGAGTCCCGTATACACTCAATGATGCATGTAGATACGTGAAAATGGACGGAGAACTCAGTTCCAAAAGGAAGGGCAGGGAATCTTGTGAGCTGCGTCGCTAACAAATCTATCTTCAGGAGAGCAATCTTGAAGTGAGGGGCAAAAAGCCATGCCGCTCTACTGATCAAGGCACACTTTTAACAGGTGCTTTTCTTGCCTCAGTGTTTGTGCCAGTCCCATATCCCAGATCCCGTATATATTCGTAGGTCGCGGTAGTACGAGCACTCATCCAAATGTCGGCGGGCAAGCACAAACCAGCCCGTACCAAAGACGCTGCCATTGCCCTTGCCATCTTCCCTCCACCAAGAAATCCAGCTCTCAGCGCTGAACAGAAGTGAAACGCATAGATTTTCTGTATGTGTTCTGCCAAAATGGCAGAAAGGAGCTGCTCATTGCCTCACTGGTCACCGCGACATTAGTGGGTGGTCACTGCGAAGTTAGTAGTTACGGCCGATATGCCACCAAGTACAATATTCGAGCTTCGAGATTTATAACGTGAACAAAACCGTAAAGTACTCACTGGACGATCTCTCGGACATTTCTGGAGGCAATCAAAGTGGTGCGCAGGGCGTCCGGAACGAATAAGGTGTTCGTGCTCAGGCAGAAAGAAAAGAATCCCTTGAGCATGCAGTTTTAATAATGGAAAACAAGCCAGGAAGGTGGCAGAAGAATGGAGAGGCTGACTACTATCGTCCGCAGCCCCCAAAGGGACCAACGCTCGTCCTGGCCTGCAGCTTGCCTCGCTGTTGCCTTCAAGATATGGAGGGCAATCCTCCTTGAATAATGAAATGTAACAGCAGCTATGCACTTCTCTTGAAATAGAAAGAATGTTTATAGATGTGAAGACAAGCCACGCTTCGCCGACAGCAGAGTACAAGACTGCTAGAGCAGTTCCTAGTTCATGCCTTCCATCAAAAGAACGCTGAGATACATTACCTTTCTCTTAGCGTGTCGTATTGCTGGAAAGAATAATGTGCAATGAGCCCTTGTAAATGGGAATAGTAGACAAGGAAAGGCCTCTCAGATTTGTGCTGAGCAGTGGAAGTATTGAGTGTAAATACGCTGTATTGGTGTGCGTTGAGGCTCCGAAAATGCGTCTAGCTAGAAACTACCAGCGCTGTGTTTTCGGAAAGGATGGCATATTGATATTTCTACCTCAAGTAATGAGAAATACTATGCAATAATTCGCTGCAGAAACTGCTATGCAGTGCAGTGTGTTTGGTCAGCAGGCGAATGATAAGGGCATTTTCACACAGTGTCAGAACAAGACATGGCATACACACAGTAGAGTAATGCAGCAGGGCAGAACATGGGAAGCTACGTGGCGATACTTTTGCTCTCCCTGTCTCCACCATTCCTTTTGTACAAGAGCTGCAACGGGCAGACCCTGCTTTGTCTCAGTCAGCATTTTGGGCCCCTTATGTACTACAGTGAGTTTTGGGAACCATGCAGTATTGCGCAAGTCCAGTAGTCAGAGCTGCACGCTAGCTCGCCAAGGCAACAAGCCTGTATAAGGCCTTCGGCATAATGTGCAATAGAAAGTCTTCTTTTACGGACTTTCCCCTAGAAAGCTTTGGAACCCCTAACTATCAATTACACACTTTGACGTAGCACAGACATCTTGGACAATTTAGTCTGTGCGGACTGCAACTCTGTTAAAAGGACGCCTGCTAACGAGGATGCAATTCCTGTATCAGTCCCTGTATGCAAGCAAATGACAACGGCACCTATAACTGCAAAGTGGAATGACCTTGAACGTAATGACAGCACGTATGCATTGTCTTTAAAAAACACAGCAATGATGTATAAGACCAGTGAAAGTCTCTGAGCAGTGGACGTGGATGTTAGTCTCTGGCCCTACACCTCGTGTAGCTCTACTGATACCGCTGTCGGGCATCATTACTACCCTCTGAGCCCTGTAAACATTTGTTCAGGAATAGTTATTTTCAAGGTGCGGGCTTCTGCCATTGTGGGCACTTCGTACTGGTAGGCTCCTGCTAACTTCTCGAAAGGTTAGTGTAGCAGCAGCAGGTGCAGCAGCAGCAGCAGCAGCCGCCGCTGAAGCAGCAGAAGGTGCAGCAGCAGGTGCTGCAGCAGGTGCAATAGTAGGAGTGGCAGCTGGAGGTGCACGAAAATACGCGGCAGAAGCAACTGCTGCAATGGCAGCAGCAGTTGCCGCAGATGCAGCGGCAGCAGCAGAAGACGGAGCAGCAGCAGCAGAAGACGAAGCAGCAGCAGCAGAAGACCGAGCAGCAGCAGCAACAGCGGCAGCCGCGTGAGCAACAGCTGCAGCACGGCTAAACCCTGCAGCAGCAGAATTCAACAGCAGTATCTTGAAAAACCTCAAACCCTAAACCCTAAACCCTAAACCCTAAACCTAGTAAAAAGGATCAGTTATCTTTTGTTTTTCCGCTGTAAAGGGCGGCAGCACCGTTGCGTTCGTCAAGAGAATTCCCACTGATTTCCGTATAATTCTCTGTGTTAAGAACAGAGGTTTGAGAGCGTCAAATACCTAGACCAGCTTGCACAGCAATACCTATGCTGCTCCCTTAGCTTTGTGTGACTACACTGAAGCTAGTTGTCAGAATAAACGACTTGCGGAATTACTCCGACAGCTGCCATTTTCTCCTTAGAGCGATTACTCCGGTATCTTCAGTCAATGTAGTCGCAGTAAGCTGGAATCGAATGACATCCGAGGATACAACCTAATGCTCTCCGCCATTCACAGGCCCTTCTACATCTCAACTGGAGAAAGAGCGACTTGCTGTTAAATGCTTGCATCCGATTCAGGGTTACTGTGACTCTGTAGGTGCTCACGGCACTGCTGTATGTATGCAGACAGGAGCTGCGTCACTCTGTGCAGACATTGACTCACGCATCTACACAAAGTTTGTCTCTTAAATATTTTTTTCTTTAAACATATCGCCTGCTCGTAGACGGAAACAACTCTTTTTCATTATAGTTCTTCGAGCATGTGTCTCTTGTACCAGCAGCACTTCTGCATCCCCAAAGCAGTGGATTGCCGCTGTTTTGTCGATAAGGATCTTACCCTCTGCTTCTCTTACAGGGATTTTAGTGCAAGCTGCTTCCCTAAAAAGTTGGTTGGGGTAATGCTGCTCAAAGCGGAATTTTTTTTGAGCGGACAGCTAACAGTAAGACCATGTTTGCCACGATGTTTTTCGGCAGCGGTGTGTGCACGCCCACCACAACTCGCTTTGGTGTTTGGTATAAATGGGCGCGTGTCCGTCATGATTTTTGGATTGTTGCTGTAGCGGCTGCAGATCTAAGACCACGACTGCTCACGTCAGACTTCAGAACGCCTCCTAGCATGTTTTGTGATCGAAATGTATAGTTGTTCTAAAAGAGCTCTGTGGATACACAAATCCCATCTAGCTTTGTCACAGTGAGCTGCAGCGACGGGGGATTGTGCAGGTGCTGTAGTGCCCAGGCACTACAATAGGGCTTGCTGGTGACCTTAAGTAGATAGCTAACTGGCGACCTACAACAGGCCAACACGCTGAACAAGGACAGGAACTTCTTAGTAGTAGTGAAGTGAGGCAGATTATCAGCAAATTAGCATGTATAAACTGGAGTTGTCGTTGGATACTTGGAGATTGGGACTGGCTATAGCGCCGGCGCTGGTGCAGGCCTCCTTCCCACCGGTCCAAGGAAGCAAGAACCCTGAGTGGGGACACTTTTAAGGAAAATCGATTTCAGAACTTGAGAAGATGACTACATTTATTGATATTTGTGTGTGTGTTTCATATGAGATGCGTCGAAGGTAGGTTTTTCATAGGCGCCCTATTCGTGGACTAAGTAGCGCAGCAGTAAGCGCTGTGCACTACATTTGGGGGCTGTTCCGGGAATGAAATTTCTTTTGTTTCCGGACTGGAGAGCAGAAATACTTTGTCTAAATGATTCACACCAACGTGTCTTACCTCGATGAGGGATGCATCTCCGCAACGGACGCGTTATAAGCCCCACACAGCAAGAGACTTCTACAATGTCCGTAAGCAAAATGCCAAGCGGGACACTGGCTTTAGTGCGCAGGCACTACAAAAGGGCTTGCTGGTGACCTATAGAGAATTGCTGCCTGATCAGCTATACGCAATTAAGAGGTTGAGAAGCGGATTGAGCGCTGTAACTTCTTACCAGTAAAGTAGAAAAGCAATTTATTAGCAAAATAACATGTATAAACTAGAAGTGCCTACGAATAGTCTAAGATTGGGGTTTCTGACAACGCCGGAACCGGTGCGCGTCACCTCCTTCCCGAACCAGCAATGCAGGAACCATGAGGAGTGACTTTTAGGAAATATGGTTTTAAGAACTTGAAACAAAATGGTCGTTTTAATAAATTGGTAGACGTTACGCAACCGATGTGTCTGTAATAGAGAAGATCTCGTAGAGCGCCAGAGTTGTGGGCCGTGCAGCCTCGTAGACGCTGCAGAGAATGCAGTGTACTACACCGGTCCATCATCGTCATGCTACTCCGAAACCCACCGTGGTAGAGCAGCCGCATGGGCATAAGGAGGCGCCCCAACAGGTGGCAGCTATAACCAATGTTATGCCAGGGGACAGTGTAGTACACCGCGTTCGCTGCAGCGACTACGATGCTGCAGGGCACACAACTTGGACGTTCTATGAAGTCCTCTCTACTATCTACGCATCGGTCACGTAACGGTTACCAATTAATTAAAAAGGCCGTTTTGTTTCAAATTCTAAAAACCATATTTTCCAAAAGGTCACTGCTCACGGTTCTTGCTTTGTTGGTCCGCTGAGCATGCGACCCCCACCGGTGCCGGCATTGTCGGCAGTCCCAATCTTAGGGTATTCGTAAACATTTCTGGTTTATACATGTTCTTTTGCTAATAAGTTGATTTCCTATTTAACTAATAAGAAGCTACAGCGCTCAATCCGCGTCTCAACCTCTTACCCTCTTACAGGTAGCCGGCTAGCGATCGTCTATAGGTCACCAGCAAGCCACTTGTAGTGTCTGTGCACTACAACTTCCCCTCTTGTCACACTGAAGCGGCCTAACCACAACACATTACTTTTGCCTTTCCAATTTCTATCCTCTTCTGAAGCTAATGCCATGAGCGCATGCGGTGAGCAGCGCTCCCTCTGCCCTCGCCATGCAAGGCTGCCAACCCTGCAGGCGGCGGAAGCTGACGAACTCAAAGCGCTACGCCTCAGAAGGACCAAATGGTTTCGAGCTTGAAGATGTCTTCGCTAGTGGCGGTTCCAAGCACAAAGCAAAGCCGCGCAGCTTGTAAGCTGGCGCGCGGGCTCCCAGGTGGCTTGATCTTCAGGAGTCCCGCGCCAGTTGACGAGGTACTGGGCGTTGCCTCCCGAGCCGCGTTGGCCTTTAATATAATCTACCTCATACTCCTCTGTGGGATTGCCTACCACATGGGGAGTAGGGAACCAGGCGGCGTCGGCTTGCGGGAGAACCAAATCGGGAAGGCGGGGGCGGTGGGGAACTAACTGCGAAACATGAAAAACGTTGTGGCATATATTAGTAGGAGGTAAAGCGAAACGGTAAGCAACGGGGCCTACTCGTTCAAAGATTTCAAAGGGTCCTCGGTAACGGGGCTCGAACTTACGGCAGCTAGATGACGCCGGTAGATGCTTGCTGCTGAGCCAAACCTTGTCGCCCACTGCATACTCCACAGCTCGGTGCTTTGTGTCTGCGTAGTACTTCTACTGCCATTTTGCCTTCTGTATGTGACTCTGTGCTCTATCGCAGAGCTGCCGGAAATGCTTAGTCATCGGAGGAGTGAGCGTAGGAGCTAACGCGCCTGCGATATCAAGATTTGCAGCAGTAAACGGATTCTCGCCAGTCATGACCTCGAAGGGAGAGAGCTCGGTGGAGGAATGACTTGTCGTGTTGTAGGCAAGTTCTAAGGCCGAAAGCAAACGCTCCCACTCGCGTTCGCCGGACTGGATGTAGGTATGAAACATCTGCTCCAGTGTGCGGTTAAGCCTTTCAGTTTGACCATCGCTTTGCGGATGGTAGGACGAGGACATGGCGCGTTTGACGTCAAAGCGGTGACATAGTTGTTGCCAGAGGTCCGACTGAAAGCGGGGGTCGCGGTCCGATATGAGCACCTCTGGAAAACCGTGATAGCGGATAAGGCGGTCTGCTAAAAGCTCCACGGTGTCTGCTGCTGTGAATGACTTCTTTGCAGGAACGAAATGAGCCTTCTTGCTGAGGGAGTCGGCCATGACAAGGATCGAGTCGTGCCCTGTCGTTGTAAGGGGAAGATCTGTGATAAAGTCAAGACTCACGTGCGCCCATCGATGAGAAGGGATGAGCAGCTGTTGAAGAAGGCCTGCAGGCCTCTGGTTAAAAGACTTTGACGCTCGACAGTGAGCGCATGACTCAACACAAGCAGTAGTGTAGGCGCGAATTCCTGGCCAGTAGTAGTGCTTGCTGAGAGCCGCAAAGGTCTTCTTCTGGCCTCGATGGCTGGCTGTGACATGGCCGTGATGTGAATGCAGAACTTGAGTAAGAAACTCAGGGAACTGTGGGACGCAGATGCTCCACAGTCCATGAACGCGGATGTGCAGGTAAGGCTGCACGTAGCGAAAGGTGAACTGGCGGTTACGAAACTCGATTAGCAGAGCTTCTCCCGGTTGGTTTACTGCGGCTTTGTAGGGAACGCGAAAAACAGGACACTTCGAGTAAGCTTGCGGCCATTGGCGCACATCAGGAGGGTCAGCTGGTGTCTTCGTTGTGAGTGTAGGATGTTCCGGCTCTGGGTTGGGTTCCGGCGGAGGTGGTGAAGGTGCGGACGGCAGGCTGCGTCGTCTAGGTCTTCGCGAACGAATTCCGGGGAGCTTTCGGTAGTTGGGAGGCCGACCACGAGAGAGGGGAGCCGCGCTCGCTTGTCCTGTTGCGAGCATCAATGGTACCGATGGTGTGTCGTGCGAGCAGCTGTTAGGAAGACCGGGACGGCGAGACAAGACATCAGCAACTTGATTGCGCGCTCCTTGAACATAAGTGATCTGCAAATCCGAGAACTCCGCAAGAAAGTCTAGCCACCGGACGGTGCGTCCGCGCAGAGGCTTCGATGCTTGGAGTCGTTGAAGATGGGTGAGAGCTTGATGGTCAGTGTATGCCGTTACCTTGGAGACACGGAGCAAGTGCGACCACTTGTCCAGCGCTATGACCAACGCCAAGAGTTCCTGATCGTAGATCGAGTATCTCTGTTGCGTGGGGTTCATGACTTGGATGAGGAAACCGATGGGTTTGCCGTCTTGTTCGAGAACTGCTCCGATCGAATAACCAGAGGCATCTGTGTATAACTCGAAGGGTTTCGTGGTGTCAGGGACTTGTAATGTAGTGAAGTCGATTAAGCGCTGTTTGAGCTGCCGCACCGCTTGCGTGTAAAGCTCTGTCCATTCGAAACTGACGTCTAGATTAACCAGCGGCCGGGCAACGTCTGCATAGTCCGGTCCCATGAACATGCGACAGTAATTTATGGTACCGAGGAACTGGCGCACTTGCGTTTCGTTCTCCAGCACCTCTGGCCAATGCCGGATGGCTGCGATTTTATTGTCTGCAGGTTTGATCCTCGCAGCAGAAATGGTATAACCCAAATATATGATTGTTTGCCTTGCAAACTTGCATTCGCGGAATTTTGGGTAGAACTGGTGTCTAAGAAAAATGCTTAGGACTTGTCGCGGGAGACAAACGTGCCCAGAGAGATCGGGACTATAGATAAACACACCATCTAGCTACGCAATAACGCCCTGGCCCAATAAAGGTTGTAGATAGGCATTAATATTGGCCTGGAACGTAGCGGGATTACCCTTAAGGCAGAAGAGCATCACTCAGTACTCGAATAGTCCGAGAACGGACCGGAAAGCCTTCTTCCACCGGTCTTCCTTAGCCATACGTCTTTGGTGGAATCCTGCTTCAAGATCCAAGGTGGAAAAATACTTGGCGCCTCCCAGCAGCTCCAGAATGGTTTGAATGGGAGGTAGTGGAAAATCAGGGGCTATCGTAAGGACATTTAGAGCCTGGTAATTGACAACCATACGCATCTTCCGCTCCCTGGAGCCATCATCACGTTTGTCCACCATGATCGTACGAGAGCAAATAGGCGAATAGGTCGGTCCGACCCAACCACTGTCCGATAATTCAGGTATCTCCTGTTTGTGGAATGTGAGCTGATTTGGGGTCACATGGTATATTGCAGATCTCGCTGGAAGTTTTCCAGGCACAAGGAGAATATGGTGATCATGAAGGCACTTCGGCGGTAATCCTTTAGGTAAGGTATTGGGAAAAACCGCTCGATACTCTTGCAACACCTGGGCAACCTCACATGGAATATCCTCCGCCTCTGGCGAAGTTATCCATTCGTCGAACAGAGTGTGCTCGAGTTTTGCCATAGGCCAGGGAGACCCCTCGTCACTCTCTGCTGCCACCGAGGCGGTTGAGGCCAAAGGACTACCCCAGCCGGAGGACGTGGGTTGATTCCCAATTAACGCGCAACAAAGTGCGCCTTGCCATTCATCCGAGAGCCTTAGGGGCACTGCCGAACCGGCTTCGGGCAAAGCCAGTAGGAGATGCAAACAGTGCAATGGAGTCCGGAGATCATTTGTGTCAGCCGCCGCCTGACGAACGAGCGACGTTATCCGCCCCTTCGCCTTAGTCTTCGCGTGCGACTTACACCTCCTTGGAGGCGGGCGTAGGAATATAGCTGCCTCCTCGGCTGACATACCCGCCACTTGTTTGGCCAATATCTCATATGCTTGCTTGCTGCTGGGGTCCTTAGGTGGACTACGGTGGGACTATCACGTTGCAGCGTTGCTTCACCAGTCCGAACGACCGGTAACTCGCACCACTGGCCATTCACATAGTTTCGGAGTTTGTCAGATTGGAAATACCAGGCCACCTTGTGTTCCGTCAGCCAACCCAAACCCAAGACTAAGTTGATGAGAACGGTTCCCACTAAAATGTCCTCGGGAAAACGTGTATGTCCGCAACACAGCGTCAATCCCGTCACTACCCGATCAATGCGTAGTTGTGCACCTGTAGCTACGGTGAACCTATGCTATTTTGGAAGTCTCCGCACTTTCATCTGCAGTCGTTCGACTGTTTTGGGACTAATGAAGCTTCTCGAAGCCCCAGTGTCCAAGAGGACCTTACAAGGACTTCCTGCGAGCTCAACGCGAAGTACCGCCGTCGCACCCACACAACACAACGTTCCCCCTTGGTCGTAAGACTCTTTCGTGCAAGTCTCCCTCCACCAGTGTGGCACAATCTCTGTCGCATCTGACCTATAGCCGTCTTCTGTTGCCTCTGCAGACTTCCTGCTGCTATCCGTCGTGGCGTCCGGAGTCTCTCAGGATCGACGCTGACCCAGACTCCCGCCGCGTTCCCGAAAGCGGCTGAGTCCCTTCCGCGTGCCCATCGCTCGTATTAATTATTTCCGCAGTGCGGAGGAGTTGGTTTCCCCACTCAAGGGAGACTGGAATGGCATTAGGGCCTGTTGCTACCGCACACATCATCCCTTTGCCATGGCTACGCGGCCTAGAACGCTCGTCTCCAACCACGCCTAGGCCCGCACGTCTAATCATTCCGTCGTCTGTGCTAGGACGGGCGGGTGCCCTA